GTCTTTGGGGTTTAGACACTGCCAGGCGTGTCGTCAGCTTCATGAACATTGTGCGTAAAAGCGAAACGGATTGGGATTGGTTCCTGGGCACAAACCATAGCACCCCTTACGAATTAGGTCTGCTTTTGCAAATTCTACAAGGGAATGCTTATTAAGCCATGCTATTTGTTCATGTCTCCAGAACAGTATTGCAGAAGCCCAGAGAGTGCGTGGTCACAAGTGCAGCCCAAAACCCAAAACCCAAAACCCAAAACCCTAAACCCTAAACCCTAAACCCTAAACCCTAAACCCTAAACCCTAAACCCTAAACCCTAAACCCTAACCTAACCCTAAACCCTAAACCCTAAACCCTAAACCCTAAACCCTAAACCCTAAACCCTAAACCCTAAACCCTAAACCCTAAACCCTAAACCCTAAACCCTAAACCTCAACCAAGCCATAGGAGTCGAATTCCGATTGTTCTGCCGGACTGGTGCGAGAAGGGAACGAGCTCCTTGCCAAAAACTTAGTAGCTGAGTAGGTAACCTTCAACCTTTTGGTTTTATATAATCCTTCTTTAATTCAAGAGGTTAGAATTTTTTGGTCTAGGGTACCCGGCCCCTAAGAAAACCATGAGAAGTCATGTTTTTGTTTTTGATGTCAGGGGTTCGGACCTGGACCATCATCCCAGGGAAGAGGAGAGAAAAAACCCTAGACCCCAGACCCTAGACTCTAAACCCTAAACCCTAAACCCTAAACCCTGAACTTAAACCCCAAAACCTTGAAAGCCCCTGTAAGCCTCACCTGCGCCTCCATCCCAGATCTGGTGTACATATCGAGAAGCCACTCGGCAGCATTGAAAGAAGCATTTAGGGTTTAGGGTTTAGGGTTTAGGGATTAGGGCATGGTTGTGCCCAGATCTTCCAAAACCCCTTAATATACCCCTGCTTCATAATCTTGATCCTTAGTATACATTTGGGCATTTTCCTTAGTTAAGGGGTTTTGGAAGCCACGCAACGTGACAGTCTTGGTCATTTCCTAACACCTGTGCGGGTTTCGTTGTGACAGACAAATTCCTCAAGCTAAACCCCAAAGCCTTATGCTTCGACGCCCCAGCCTTCACACCGTGAGCCTTAAGCCCTGAAACCCCTGATGCCCCAATCTTGCAAAGTTTAGGGTTTAGGGTTTAGGGTTTAGGGTTTAGGGTTAGGGTTTTAGGGTTTCGGGTTTAGGGTTTAGGGTTTAGGGTTTAGGGTCCCGGGGCTAGTGTTCAGGGCTCAGACCGGCCTCCAAGGTAACGGAGCCGCTCATACGGTGCAGGTCGAGAAGATCGAGGAATCGACTCGGAAGTCACTTTGGGGGGTTTTCCGACATTAGGGTTTAGGGTTTAGGGTTTAGGGTTTAGGGTTTAGGGTTTAGGGTTTAGGGTTTAGGGTTTAGGGTTTAGGGTTTACGGGTACCTTATCGGGGTCCTTATTATAAAGGGACCCTACTACTTGGGAGTCTATTTTAAGGGCCCCCTATTTTCGGAAAGGGGGTGGGGTGAGGGCTGAGAAAGAATTAGCCCCGTTATTGGGGGGGGGGGCGGCTTGGGGTTTTGGGGGGTTATGGGTTTAGGGTTGGGATGTTCCCCCCTTTATACTGGCAGTCCTTTGTATGGATTGTCGTACAATCCATTATAATCTCTTTTAAGGACTAAGGGGGAGCGTCCCAGGTCCAGGGGTTCAGGGTCCTCCCTTAAACCATTAGACCCGACACGGCTGCACGGCGTTACCCTAATATGGCGCTGTCGGCATGCATGGCCACCGCCTTGCCTAAGTGGGTTCAGCAACTTAGGGTTTAGGGTTTAGGGCTTAGGGTTTAGGGGCCAGGGGGGCTTGGGTCTCAGAATCGTAGAGAAGCCCTCCAGGAGAGACAGCAGATGGTTGTCATCCGCTTTGACTCCAATAGAAAGATTTGGAAGAGAATCCCGTGACTCGGCGGCAGTAATCCTAAACCCCAAACCCTAAACCCTAAATCCTAAACCCTAAACCCTAAACCCTTGCAAAGCCGCAGGTCCCGACCTGCCTAGATGCTCGAACCCTAAAGCGAGATGCGGCGCCACCCTGCATCGGCTCGGCCTTGAGTTCCGGGCTCCAAAGGGTCGATGGTAGCCCTAAACCCTAAACCCTAAACCCTAAACCCCCAAAATAGCTCGAAACCCGAAAACCCCAAACCCCGAGACCCATAGGGCTCCCAAGCCCGGGAGGACCCCACTCCCTGAAAAGCAAAGGCCTGAAGATTCTGTTTGTAATGGGCCAAAATGGGTGGAGCTTAGGGGTCGAAAGGCTTGGGGTGCTAGTACGGTTTTTTTTTTTGGTGGGTTTAGGGCTTAGGGCTTAGGGCTTAGGGCTTAGGGCTTAGGGCTTAGGGCTTAGGGCTTAGGGATTTAGGGTTTTAGGGTTTTAGGGTTTAGATGCATGGCTTGTCGTTGTTCAGATTGCTGTGTTTGCTGGTGAACAAGAATGACACAGACATGCATATGTACATATATGTATATATATAAATAAACTTATTTATATTTATATTTATATATCTATATATTTGTATATTTACATATTTATAAATTTTTATATTTATATATTTATATATTTATATATTTGTATATTTATATATTTATATATTTATATATTTATATATTTATATATTTATATATTTATATATTTATATATTTATATATTTATATATTTATATATTTATATATTTATATATTTATATATTTATATATTTATATATTTATATATTTATATATTTATATATTTATATATTTATATATTTATATATTTATATATTTATATATTTATATATTTATATATTTATATATTTATTATTTATATATTTATATATTTATATATTTATATATTTATATATTTATATATTTATATATTTATATATTTATATATTTATATATTTATATATTTATATATTTATATATTTATATATTTATATATTTATATATTTGGTACCCCCCCCCCCATATGCCCACACTTTTTCCTGCCTCAGGTACCGTGGCTGCACTTGTCGCATCCGGCGGCACTCAGGGTTCAGGGTTTAGAGGTTTAGGAAAAACTCTGTACTGTCCCAAAACAAAACAATGTTTGTCAGCCAGAATGAGCAAAAATGCTGTACTGTCCCAAAAAAACCAATGTTTTCAGGCCAAAACAAGCAAAAATGCTGTACTGTCCCAAAAAAACCAAAAAAACCAAAGTTTGGAGACCTCCAGGGTCTGGAGGAGCCCAAGGTCTCCAAACTTTGGTTTTTTTGGTTTTTTTGGGACAGTACAGCATTTTTGCACTTTTTGCCTTGAAAAGATTGGTTTTTTTGGGACAGTACAGCACTTTCGACGCCTGGGACTGCAAAAACGCTGTACTGTCCCAAAAAAACCAAACTCTCTTTAAGCAAAAACAAGCAAAAATGCCGTACTGTCCCAAAAAAAACCAAAAAAAACCAAAGTTTGGAGACCTCCAGGCCCTGGAGGAGCCCAAGGTCTCCAAACTTTGGTTTTTTTGGTTTTTTTGGGACAGTACAGCATTTTTGCACTTTTTGTCTTAAAAAGATTGGTTTTTTTGGGACAGTACAGCACTTTCGAGGCCTGGGACTGCAAAAATGCGACTGTCCCAAAAAAACCAAGATTTTTAGGCCAAAACAAGAAAAATGCTGTACTGTCCCAAAAAAACCAAAAAAACCAAGTTTGGAGACCTGGGGCTCCTCCAGGGCCTGGAGGTCTCCAAACTTTGGTTTTTTTTGGTTTTTTTGGGACAGTACAGCATTTTTGCACTTTTTGCCTTGAAAAGATTGGTTTTTTTGGGACAGTACAGCACTTTCGAGGCCTGGGACTGCAAAAATGCTGTACTGTCCCAAAAAAACCAATATTTTTAGGCCAAAACAAGCAAAAATGCTGTACTGTCCCAAAAAAACCAAAAAAACCAAAGTTTGGAGACCTGGGGCTCCTCCAGGGCCTGGAGGTCTCCAAACTTTGGTTTTTTTGGTTTTTTTGGGACAGTACAGCATTTTTGCACTTTTTGCCTTGAAAAGATTGGTTTTTTTGGGACAGTACAGCACTTTCGAGGCCTGGGACTGCAAAAATGCTGTACTGTCCCAAAAAAACCAATATTTTTAGGCCAAAACAAGCAAAAATGCTGTACTGTCCCAAAAAAACCAAAAAAACCAAAGTTTGGAGACCTGGGGCTCCTCCAGGGCCTGGAGGTCTCCAAACTTTGGTTTTTTTGGTTTTTTTGGGACAGTACAGCATTTTTGCACTTTTTGCCTTGAAAAGATTGGTTTTTTTGGGACAGTACAGCACTTTCGAGGCCTGGGACTGCAAAAATGCTGTACTGTCCCAAAAAAACCAATATTTTTAGGCCAAAACAAAAATGCTGTACTGTCCCAAAAAAACCAAAAAAACCAAAGTTTGGAGACCTGGGGCTCCTCCAGGGCCTGGAGGTCTCCAAACTTTGGTTTTTTTGGTTTTTTTGGGACAGTACAGCATTTTTGCAGTACTGTCCCAAAAAAACCAATATTTTTAGGCCAAAACAAGAAAAATGCTGTACTGTCCCAAAAAAACCAAAAAAACCAAAGTTTGGAGACCTGGGGCTCCTCCAGGGCCTGGAGGTCTCCAAACTTTGGTTTTTTTGGTTTTTTTGGGACAGTACAGCATTTTTGCACTTTTTGCCTTAAAAAGATTGGTTTTTTTGGGACAGTACAGCATTTTTTGCATTTTTTGGCTTAAAAAGCTTGCTTTTTTTGGGACAGTACAGCGTTTTCGCAACTAAGCTCTAATGTTTCATGGCATGCCTGATGCTACGACGAGCATCATGTGCACATGCTCTTGTTTCATTGCACTTGTTTCATTGCACTTGCATGAAGAGTGTTTAATCCAGAACAAAACGATTATATTCTATTGCGCGCGTCCTTTCCTCATCAAGCCGAGTTTGTTCCTGAAAACATACCGCGTTCGCATCGTTATCCTACGAACCACATCGATGGCTTCCGTCCCTCCGCAGAGGCCCATCTCTCTCGCGCAGTCTCTCCATGAGGACCACGATATCCTCGATGGCCCCCTCACGTTCGAAGAGGCAATCGCAAACACGGAGGGCATGAAGGTAATCTTTCTCGACAGGGCCATGGTTGTTCACAAGCCTGTGGGTTCTGTTCAAATTGGGGATTTACCTGCAAAAGACGAAATTCAAGATTCAGTGAAGAAGCGGGTGCAGTTCTTGGATGTCGTACTTGACTACGAAGGGGACCTCGATCTCAAGGAAATTGAAACCATGTTTCTTCAGCAAAGGTACCAGGACCTCCCAGCTCCTATCAAAATGAAGGGAAACAACGTCTTGCCGTACAGCATGCAACTGTTTATCCTGAAGACCGGCGACAGGAAGTGGAACATCGTCAAGCATGTGCGGTTTGCCGAAGGCACCAAGGTCATATCGTCTGCTATCATGTCCATGTGCACGGGAAGACCTCTGGAAATTGACTACCAAAAAAACTTTCGTGAGGGTAGCCGAGCTCTTCAGTACATGCTGGAGGGTCTGGGCGGATTCCAAGTTCGCTATTGCAAGCTGGTTCCCATGAATGCAAGCAACAAGCCATCAAGGGAAACAGATGACATCAGAGCAGGCTTTCAATTCATCAAGGCCAACGGCCCCACAGAGAACGACGACGGCCAGTTCACTTCCTGGACGGAGGAGCAAGTGAACGATCCAAACAGCCCCTTGCACAAGTGGGACAGAGGAGTCATCAAGGAATTCTTGAGGTGTCAGGCGGACAAAGGGGCACAGGCTGGGACCATCAGGGACTGGCCACTCACACTCGTCGACTTCACACCTTGGGCAATCAACACCGTGTTTGCCCCCATCTTGCCCTATCTCACGGGCCATTCGGTGATCTGGATCGGCAAGTCTGAAGTTGGGAAAAGTCCGGCGTCTTACACTCTGTCGCACCTCATGTCTGCATTCTGGCTTCTTCAGGAAGATCGTACACAAGAAGTTCCAGGCTTCCAGACAGCCAGTCACCTCGACTACTTTCGGAAGGAACGCGGTCGTCGCACCAAACCCCGTGTTTACGATGACGGCAACCTTTATCGTGAACAAGCCGCATCTGTGAAGGCTGTCACGGAAGTGTCAGGCCTGGACAGAAAGACCATGGCCCGATGGAATGCATCGTCGTATGAAAAAGGTCAGCTTTGCCAACTGTGCTCAAACCCCTATGACAGGACAGTTGAGAAACCCATGTCCCCTGGACGAGAATCCGACTCAGTGACGTTCGAAAACTTCTACAAACTCATCCGTCCGTCCTTTCACCGTGAGTTTGACGAGGAAGACTTGCTCGCCGTCTTGAAGAGATCATGCGTTGTCGTCTTCACTGACGTGGGCATATATGTCCGTACACCAGGGACAACCCGAGACGCCATCCCACGAACAGCTTGGCCTAGCGAAGACTTCGGCCTAGTCTCTCCATGCTCCCGGTCCACATTTACAGCCTACAAACGCGGCTTTGCTCTTCCACCCAGACCTACTCATCAGGAGAACTTGCAGTGGTCCCTGAATCTCCTACAGGCAGCACTTGACGGTGAGGACGTTCCTCGCTGCTGCACTGTCTTGGGTCGAAAACTAAATGGAGCGAAGTATGTCGAGGAGGTGCGCCCAACACTCGCAGGCATCTCCGCCTCCACAACCTATTTCCCTGAGCAAGAGAATGAGCAAGTCCAGGCAGAGCCGCCAACCAAGCGTTTCAGGTCTGTCAAGTCTTCAAGTGCTCTCCTACAGAATGCGGCTGCGACACGTGAAGAATTAAAAGAGAACACCGAGACGGAAGGTACGAAGGAGGAGGCTGCAGTTCCACCCACCCCAGTTGCTTTCTCTTTATAAGATATTTTGGTTTTTGTGTATATCTATCTGAGCCCTAAGCCCTAAACCATATGTTATATTGATAGAGCTATAAGTAGGTCGAACACATACACATTTTTCATAAGGTTGCGGTCAAGAAGGAGTGTGTCGATGTCGAAGCAAAGTTCAAGAGTTTCAAACAAGCGCTCGGCAAACGCGTTCTCCGCATCGACATCTCCGACCCTACCCCGCCGCCATCTCCAACAGCTGCAAAGGCATCGTCTGTTGGATCATCTGCAAACTCGTCAGTGCCAAGATCCGCGAAATTATCCCCTTCTCACAAGAAGACACCGCCTCCATCTCCAAAGGCGCCTTCTCTCGCAGCATCTGCCAACTCGCCAAGGCCCAAATCAACATCTGCGATCCCTTCGCCCAAGATGCCATCGTCGTGCTCATCTCCAAAGGCAAACTCGCCAAGGGCAGAGTCTGGTGACGCTATGGATGTGGCTTCAGACATCCCGGATCCCATGGATGACTTGTCCCAGGAGCTTGCCGGTTTCATGGATGATGCCGAGTGAGCATGACTACTTCGTCGTGCCTTGAGCACCTCCTGTCCACGTTTTGTAGCATGTGGTACAGGATGAAATCTTAACTCCTTCATAGCACACCAGGCCATTGATAAGCCTCTAGCTTTTGCCAATCGCGATCTCTGGCGAGCAGCAGCCTTTGGAGCATCAGCTCCGTCTCTGCGAGACTGCACAAAGAGTCCGCCACGCCACTGTGCCTATCGTTTAGCGTCGTGATCCTCTGCAATCCATGAGCTCTGCAGTTTGTTTTTCAAGTAGGCGTCTGTCGTAGTCGTAGTTGTCGTGGGAGCCTTGTAAGCCATGGGCAAGCCCAACCAGAATGTCATCGCCAAGAAGGGTAAGTTGCGTCGGTATGTGCAGAAGCGACCTGCCTGCAAGAAAAGCCAGGAGTGGAAGTCAGTGAAGTACACCCGTGAAAAAACATCAGTGGGACCACGCGGTGTACGCAAAGACCAGATGAAGTGGAAGCGAACACTTCCACAACTACTCAGAGCGGATGAGAAGGGAATCATCAAAATGCTGGTTGCTGACAAACTCCTACCCAATTGGGCGGGAAAGAAGTGCCCACGATGTTCTACTGGAACCTTGTCAAAGCTGTCCGACCTCAAGGGCTATGGTCTGAAGCATCGCTGTAGCGCCCGAAATTGCAGAGCCCGCATCAACCCACACCATCTGCATCCGCTCTTCACCGAATGCCAAGGCCCACAGAACCAGAGTCTGCAGATGCAAGCTGCCATGCTCCTGCTTAAGTTGCACAGAGTCCCACAAAGCACTATCCATCTGCTGCTTGGCCAAAACCACAAAGCCATTGAGGACATGGACAAGAAGATTTGCAAGCTCCGCCGAGATTTCGTTGAGAGAAAAGAGCGGGACATCATCTTCGGCAACGGCAAGAGTTGGGTAGACATTGAGGCCGACGAAGCCACGTTTGACAAGAGAGACATCTCGCAGACACCCGACCTCAAACACTTGATCGTCAAAAAGGGGGAGACCGTGATGTGGGAACAGTGGGCAGGTGTAGTCCAGAGAGGGCGGCCTGACACACTGGTGCTTCACAAGCTCACGCCAAAGTTGACAGTCAAGCGTGCGCCGGGTCCTGGAGCTATCAGGAAAACGGAGTGGACCACTCTTGGGACGAAGTTGCTACAAGATAGGCACGTGATCTTGCACACCGACTCCGCCAAGTCATACAAGGCGAAGATCTCTGGCGTTCTCCATGACCGCGTCATCCACTGTAAAAAACGCGTCAAAAGGAACGGCAAGTGGATCTGGCTTGCCCCCAAGTACACCAGCATAGTGAAGCACAAGATCCCCAACACGAAGGGCAAGTACCTGAAGACAAAATCGGGCACGCAGATAATTGATCGATGCTGGAGGTTCCTGAAGGGCCGCCTCATCCTCAATCAGCACACCAGATCTAACAGTGCGCTGTTGCGGGCAAAGCTTCGCTCCGCGCAGTACGAGTACTGGTTTAAAAATTCAGATCACTGGGTCGGCTGCGGCAGCCTATGCGCCGAGCACATGCGTAAGTTCGCACACACGTGAGCTTCTTTTCGGCGTCCACTCGCCATCATCCTCAAGCGTCTCCGTAGTTGGGGTCTGCTGCCAGTTTCTGCTTGGAGTAGTTAGTTACTTGTTGTGCTTATACTCGAGGTTAAGTAACGAATCAAGTAGTCCCCAGTTTTGCTGCTGAGAGACAATTTTGAAGCAAAGCCTGTGTGAGTGACCCTCGCAGTCAAAGAAATGAGCAGGAAGATTACTAAAAAGTAGGATTTATATCTAGAAATCATGCTAAAACGTGGGCGCATGGGGGGGGGGGGGGGGGGGGGTAGCATATATTTATATATTTATATATTTATATATTTAGTTATTTAGTTATTTAGTTATTTAGTTATTGATTTATTCATATTCATATTTATAATTTTCGTTTAAGTTTCTTACATATATTTATATTCATATTTGTATATGTGTTTATATCTATATTACATTTTTATACACATACTGTATTCACAATATGGGTCATGCCTGCTCAGCCCTAACTCAACCCTCAACCCTCAACCCTCAACCCTCAACCCTCAACCCTCAACCCTCAACCCTCAACCCTCAACCCTCAACCCTCAACCCTCAACCCTCAACCCTCAACCCCAAGCCCAAAACCCCAAACCCAAAACCCTACACCCCAAACGCAAGTTAGATCACCCTCCCACTGAGTCGGAGGTTCGTTGAAGTTCGAAAGTTCGGTGATGGTACTCTGCGGCCGCTGTGGAAGAAGACTGAGGCCGCGGTGACCATGAGTCTTTGGGTTCTTAGGGTTTAGGGCTTTTGGCTTAGGGCTTAGGGTTTAGGGTTTAGGGTTTAGAGTTGTGCTGAGAAGGTAACCTTCACCGTTTTGTTGATTCCATACAGCCCTTCAAAATCCCCGAAAGTTTCATCGAACCCGAGGCCCCCAAACCCTAAAACCCACGACGAGCACAGTCACTGTCATGGGTTCCCTTACTACCCCCCTCTGTACCCCCCCCCGTAGGTTCCCTCCATAATTAATAGACTATTTACGGTAAATTAAGACTAATTAAGGTTATCAAAGGGGAGAACCGAGGGGAGTAGTGTAGAGGGGGGTAGTAGGGGAACCCATGACACTAAGGGTTTGGTAAGGGTGCCTTGTGCATTGCGATAAGGGTGCCTGGGAGACCGTAGTTTAGAACCGTTTGCTTTTTCATCGTTTCGCGAAGCTGCCTGTGCTACGGAAAAAAACCACCTTTGGGACCCTTCGTTTCAGTTCCTTGTTGAGCTCTAAGGGTAGTTAAATGAATCCTAAATAAGGTCCCTTACCCTCCTTTGATATGTATAAGGGATGTATAAGGGATGTCCTTTCAGGGCCCATACTAAGGGACCATGAAACTACCCCAAAAGGGGCAGCAGCTTTCATGGGTAGACAAAAGCTAGGTGCCCCCATGGGGCTTTCGGTTGCTCAACTGAAGGAGTCGTGGAGGAGCTCGCGCGGAGACACTTCTTTTTGACAGCTAGACCTACACCCTGTATGGTCAGTTCTGAAATTGATGGTCTGTCTGGGTACCCTGTAGAATAGGCCAGCCTTATTAACTAATTGAGGACCCAAAAGGGACCATATTCTAGAAATACTTGACTTCAAAAGCGGTTGCCGATGTTCTTTTGCTTGTTGTTTTCGAACCTTTGAGTTTGAATGACATCTGCACTTGGGCAACTCTCCAAGAGAGAAGTCCTCTAATTAGTCTACTAGTTGCAATTTTGGGAGTATTTATCCCTAAACCCTAAACCCTAAACCCTAAACCCTAAACCCTATACCCTACACCCTTTTGGGAGAGGGTTTAATAGTAGTATGGGGTGCCCTAGATAGCAGGCTCCGTAAAACAGTAAGAGCCCCCCAGAGAAACCATCAACTCTGAGAACTTCCATTTTCGCGCGTCGACTTCGACCCTAAACCCTATAGACCCTTATAAACCCTAAACCCTAAACCCGAAACCCTTAAGCCTTAACCCTTAACCCTTAGCCCTTAGCCCTAAACCCTAAACCCTAAACCCGAAGCCCTGAACGACTTGACTTCGAAGATGCGGCGTCCAGGTTGCAACCGTCCCAGAGCGCCCCAAAGGCTTCGTCGAAGTCGACGACGACGACGACGAGGAGGCAGCAGGGCTTCGGTCGGTTTAGGGTTTAGGGTTTAGGGTTTAGGGTTTAGGGTTTAGGGCTTAGGGCTTAGGGCTTAGGGCTTAGGGCTTAGGGCTTAGGGCTTAGGGCTTAGGGCTTAGGGCTTAGGGCTTAGGGCTTAGGGCTTAGGGCTTAGGGCTTAGGGCTTAGGGCTTAGGGCTTCGGGCGTAGGGCTTAGGGCTTAGGGCTTAGGGCTTAGGGCTTAGGGTTTAGGGCTTGGGTTTAGGGTTTAGGGTTTATGAAAATTGTATGGGGTTTGGGTCCCAATAACGTTTTGACGGCAAAGTTTGACCGAAACGTGTTGACCGAAAGTGTTGATTGTGAACCTTGGTTCAAACTTTATTTTTGGGGGAAGGGGGGCAGGGAGGGGGGGGGGATGAGGGAAGAACCCTGCCCTAATCATCACATAAATCCCTAAACCCTAAACCTTAAACCCTAAACCCTAAACCCAAATGCCCATGAAGCACGGTGCCCAAACCCGCTCCTTTAAGAAACTCGGCTGCGACGCCAAAGTTTCTCCGGCTTCATGGGCATTTGGTTTAGGGTTTAGGGTTTAGGGTTTAGGGTTTAGGGTTTAGGGTTTAGGGTTTAGGGTTTAGGGTTTAGGGTTTAGGGTTTAGCCAGGGGTTCTGTTTTACCCAGGCCAGCTGCGAGAAAGTCTGGTGGCGTTCCACTACACTTAGGGGTACTTGGAAATAAATTTTAATTATTGGGCACTATAATTCCTAAGAAACAGCAAAAACATAATCTCGCCAGGGTTCCAAGTTCAGTAGAGTACACCATCTCATCCACAGGTCTCATCCACGGGACGGATCGACATGCCTCCGATCTGCCTAGCTTCACAACTTCGTAGCTGAGTGAGCACACGTTACACTTCTTGGGATACTAGAATCCCCTGTAGAACTTTTGAACTCCGCAACTGAGATAAACATACGGCTGGCTCGTTGATGTTGTGCGAATGTGTCGGGCTTAGCTTTTGGCCAGTTTGAAAGGGCCCCTTTTTTTCAGAGGTTTGGGAGGCCTAGCCCCGCGGGGCTTGAAAGGCGCATTTGGGTTAATTTGCTTAAGCTCGGCTTGTCAGGTTGGGAAATTCAGGCTGATTTCGGGAAGTTATCATGACAAGCAACCAGGATGTTCCAAAGCCCCTTCACTAAGGAATATGCCCTAACGCGTACTCATGATCCTTAGTATACATTAGGGCATATTCTTTAGTGAGGGGGTTTGGAAGATCCGGGAAGTGAACCTTCAAGACAAAGTGGAGGCGCCTTCAGCTGACGCCCCGGTGGTCGACGCCGAGGCTGGCAGGAGGG